CCTGAATCCTTTGGATGCCATCTGTTTAGGGCAGCTCATGGTTAGGTGTCTGAAGACAGATTCAAGCATGCCACCGCTCGCTCACTGACTTCTGAAAAGTGATTCAAGGTCTCAATTTCTTTACTCATGAAGGAGGGCAGATAATGGTCCCTGCCTTCCACCCATGGTTGTGTGTGAAAAGAACGGGTTCCTGCATTAAGAGCTTTGTCAATTCTCCCACTAACTCTGAAGGCAGGGATGTGTCACTCATTTACAACCGCCCAGTGCCAAACACGGTGACAGGCAAACTCAAAGGTTTGCTGATTGAATACATGAACTAACGATGCAGTGGAGTCTAGGGAGCATGGGAAAATCTGAAGAATGTAGAATTACTAAGAATTGGTTGAACCATGAAAAAGCTGATTTCCACGTCTACCCCCATATCCACCCATATTTAGGTAAAAGGGAAATGTACTAATACGTGTGAGGAAACATTTAAAAATGACCAATAACTGAAGAGCATTGTCTTCCACTCTACCACTGAGCTACATCCTCAGCCCCAATATTGCCTTTCTTGTCAATTCTCTGCAGTCATTTTTCTGCTAAATATTTTTCTGTTGGAACTGTGAGGTATTCTAGGCTATTACTTTTTATGATGCACCCATTATTGATATGTTCTTTGGAAAAGAACTCTATCACCACTAGGAAATGAAGTAGTTGACCTCATAGACTAGGAAATGCTATAATGCCAGTCTGAAACAAATGCCCTTCCCCCTTGCTTCCTACTGTCCTGTTCCTAATGACACACAGGAGAACGGACTTTGAAGTCAGAGTATTCCAGTTTTAACCCTGTGGTTCCACTACTTTCTGGGTATTGACCTTGGCTTAGTCATTTAACCTGCCTGGGTCTCAGTTTCTGTACCTGTGCAGTGGGGCTGGGTGGTGACAGTGAGCAGGTGCCTGCAGGATTCCATGAGAAGGAGTGTCAGTGACCTAGAGCCACCGCTGCTGCTGTGAAATCCATTGTTGGAACTAGGTGTGGTGGCACATGCCTATGTAATCCCAGTAACAGTCGAGGATGAGATATTGTTTCAAATTAAAATAATTTAAAAAGCTGGGGGTATAGCTCAGTGGTAGAGCACTCCTTGGTTCCGTCCCCAATACTACACATGAAAGGGGGGCAGAGTAAATCTATTGCTGGTTTTGCCTGGTAGGTCATGTCCTAAGGGCTCCATAGGCTGATGAGTTACAAGAAGGATGTCCTAGGAGACCCAGGGCTCGTGGCTCAAGGCTCCTTGATAACATTTCTGAACCTTCCTTAGAGTGCAGGTGATGCGGGACACTTACATTCCTCTCTCGTCCCCTTTCTTCACTCAGGGGCAGCCTGACATAGTGTCTCATGACCCTTCTGGCCTTGCTGACTTCCTCTCATTTTCTCTCACATAGACATTTCCCCTAATAAAACCCATGCTCGTTTAATCCCTTCTCAACATCTGCTTCTGGGAGGACCCGGATGCACACAGTGTGATAATCCTTCATGGTGAGGTCCAAAGGCAGCTATATCAGCAAAGCATTTATCAGAGTGACAGTCACAGGTAAGCGCTCCCTGTGTGGCAGGGGCTCCTGCCACCTTAGCAACTGTCACCACCATCACCGTCATGTGTCTAATTTTGCTTCTTCAATTGCACCAGGCACAGAGACCTCCAGAGGCTCATCCCAGATCACAGGACAATTTTGTTAGTGGGAGAACAACTATGGTTCCTGAGGAGAAGAAATGGACTGATTAAAACACCCTTTGGAAGTTTTTTAAGTTTTTCCCATTTAAGGAGTTTGTCCAAATTCCTTTCCAGCCCTCAAAAAGTGCACTCCTATATGCTAAAGAGGCTAACTTCATCTTTGGTCAAATGCACAAAAGGTTTTGCAGTGTCCTCAGGTCCCTGCCAGTACTCCTGACTTCTACAAATATGCTCCCGTCAGTAAACCCAGCAACTTATTTGCTGTTCGTGACAATCCTCAGGATAAAAACAACAAGAAAACCGCATTTATTACTCACATCGCACAGATAAGCAAACAGAGGAGCCCAGTGACCATTTCAAGGTCAGCCAGTCACTGAGAGGTTTGGGATTGAAGTTCTAGTTTTTGCTCCAGTGCTTTGGAAACTAAGGAGTTGCTGGATTCCGTCCAAACTCTCTCCTAGGGACATTCCCCTAGCAAGCAGGCACCAGGAACTGGCCTAAAAAGACCTTTCTCAAGCCCAATTCTGCTCAGCCTCGGGGACACTAGAAGCTCGGGAGATGAGTGATAGAGATCAGTGAAGGGGACTCAGCTCCAACTAGCCTTTATGGTCAGGCCATCCTTGGTCACCTGATAAGACTTTATTCCAATTTTAGTTACCTGGTACTGTAGAGTGTGTTCCCTAAATGGACTGTCACCACCCCAAAGCTGGGGGGAACTGTGACTTATTTCCATTCAATCAGTGTCATATAAATGCTTCCTATTGAGGGTAGTGGCAATTCAGGGCGGCATGTAGTCGGAAGGAGTAATCAACATCAATAACAACAGAAAATAAACATTTGCTGTTTAACATTGGCTTGGCCAGGCCCTGTGCCAAGAAGTGGAGATCGGTGATTAAAAGATGAGCTTTCTGACTCCAAGAGGTTGATAGGCTAGTGGGGGAGACGCTCAGGCCAAATCTGCCAGGAGGTGTCCAGGAGGACCACCTGGAGGAGGCCAGCATCGAGGAGGATGGGGGTTGGCCAGGCAGATGAGGGTGGGGAGGAGGCTCCTGACTGTGAGAACCTCTGAAGAGGGGTGGTGGTGCGAACAGAGCACTGCTGTGTTTGAGGCCTGCTGTTCCGTGCCGCTGGACCGTCAAGTTGCTTTCTATCTGACAGTTCTCATTGGCATTGTATGTGTGGTTCAGCTACGCCAATAGTCCTTCCTTCACTTAGTCAGTCATCATTGATTGGCTGCCCACTGTGTGCCAGGTATCATGCAGAACACTGGGGATTCAGAGGTGAGGGGTGGACACAGTGCCTGTCTTCATGGAACGTTCAGTCTAATGAATTTTCTGAAAAAGTGACCGGACTCCATCAGTAACATAGTGCAGTGAGCTCTAGGCAGGGGGACCTAATCTAATGGAGGGTGTATTAGTTTCCTGTGGCTGCTGTAACAAATTGCCACAAACTTCAGGGCCTCAAACAAGCACTAATTAATAATAATATGGTTCTGGAAGTCAAAAGTTCAAAATCAGTTTTACTGGGCAAGGTATAAGGCTGAATCTTTATGGAGGTGTTAGGGGAGAATCTTTTCCTTGGGTTTTCCAGTTACAGAGGGACGAATCCCTTGGTTTGTGGTCACATCACTCCCATATCTGTTTCTTCCTTCACGTCTCCTTCTTTGTGATCTTCTTGTGATTATATTGGGCTCACCTTAATCCACCATAATCTCCTCATCTCAAAATCTTTAATTTACCCACATCTGCAGAGTGTCTGTTGCTATGTAAGGTAACAATCACGAGTTCTGGGGGTTGCCTGGGGGTACCTTGGAGACTATCCTTCCAGTTGCCACAGAGTGGTGGTGATTCTAATTTATACATAGTTCAATCTGAGATCCTAGAGAATTTTGCATTCATGTTAAACCCCAGGGAAATTTAGCATTGAATGACTCTATTGTAAAGAATCATATACAGTAAAAGATCGATGTTCAGCCTAGTTTCCAAAGAGAAAAACTGAATTTGAGGGTCTAGGATGAGAGGCAGATTTAGATTCTTCAAGCGGTCCTGCCAACAGCCAGGTGTTGGTAGGATCATTGATATTTTGAACTAGGAGTGAGATTCTGGCTCTTTGATTCACCTTGACTTCCCCAGTGCAGAGATCGGGCAGTTCAGCCCCGCTGGAGTGGATCATTGGCCTCACTTAGGTTTGCCGTCTCCTAATACCTTGTTTACATAACAGCCAGGTTGCACCACCGCAGAGGCCATGATAACAATTAGAATAATAAGGGACGACCGAATGGAAGTGCCACGATGGGTCACTGCTGTACAAGATTTCCGCAATGCACAGCAGCACTCTGTGGGGGACACTACCTTGAACTCTCTGTTGTTGCAGAAGAGCCACCAGCTTAACGTATTTATTTCCAAGGTAATGAAATTGCCGTCACAGAGAACCAGGGACCTTAGAGAATTCCTTGTGTTCTGAAAACCAGGGAAAATTTCCTTTTCAGTGACTTCTTATTGGAAGACAATAGAAGCCAAATCCTATTACTAACAGATCAGGGACAGTTACATCTAAGTAAGCCATTTCATTTTCTATTAGGAAATACTTTTGGGATTGATTTTATTCTTATGATTTTTGTCACAAAGCTACACTAATTAACATAAATCATTGCCTTTGTTTCCACCCGTCATTCTGGCCACCTATCTTTTTCTTTATCTTCATTACTGCTGGTCTTCATAAACCCAAACCTTCCTTTCTGTGTCTGATTTTTGACTCTCTTTGCATCTAGCAAGATCACCCTACGTGGGTGACGAGCCAGTCTTTTATTAGTCATCGATGTTCATCTCCTCTCTGTACTTGTACTTGGATAGACTAGCTGGGTATCCCTCTCCTGTTTAATTTTCTCCAGTTGAATGCTATGCCTGTTTTTCAAAGATGTTTATTTTTTGGCGTTTCTTACACATTGTTTAAACAAGGAAGCTAGGGGAGGAGATGAATCATAAATAACAGGGAAGTGGTTTTCCAATTTGGATGCTTGCAGAAAAATATAAGCATTTCAAAATTCAATTAATAATTCTTTTTTTTTTTTTGTCTTCAAAATTAGGACTCCTGGTGGTCCTTTGTAAGAACTCAAAATGGGTACCTAGCAAGGGATCAAATTCCCTACCTGCAGCCTCGGTGAACCAGTTTTTAATCCCCACATTTGAGAGCTGGCTTAAGGAGGACATCTGTGCTTTGTTGCTGACAAGTTTTGTGCTTTGTGATCATAAACAACACTCTCTTTCCCCCTCACCCCACCCTCAGTGGCCGTTCCTGCAGCAGCCCCGCCGGTGTGTCAGCCCAAGAGCACCACTAACGGGCACCAACCCCACCCGGCTCCTCGCCTCTCCATTTCCTCCCGCGCCACGGTGGTAGCCAGAATGGAAGGCGCCTCCCAGGGGGGCCTGCAGACCGTCATGAAGTGGAAGACCGTGGTTGCCATCTTTGTGGTCGTGGTGGTCTACCTCGTCACGGGAGGTCTCGTCTTCCGGGCACTGGAGCAGCCCTTTGAGAGCAGCCAGAAGAACACCATCGCCCTGGAGAAGGCGGAATTCCTGCGGGATCACGTCTGCGTGACTCCCCAGGAGCTGGAGACGTTGATCCAGGTAAGCAGGGCGCAATCCAAGCATGGAGCCACCTGTGGGGAGGGATGGCAGTGTTGATTTTGTCTTGATCTGTCACTGAGTTTTGCTTGGGTGGCCATGCTCCTGGTGGTCAGGGAAGTCCTCTCTGGGTGGCAACATTTGGCACCAGAGAGTGACACCTGTGACAATGTGTGACAAGAGAGACCACGAGTACAAGGGCCCTGATGTGGGAGCAAGCTGTGCCTTATGTCACCCGACTTTGGATCTGGTGGCCAGATGCAGCAGCAGGAGAAAGGGCTTTGGATGTTCCAGTTCAAGTCCACCCATAGGTGTTGATGAATGTCATGGATCTGAACTCTGAGAGATGCTGGGATAAGACGGTGCCCTAGAAGCCAAAGAAAGGAGAATTTTAAACAAGCAGGGATGCATTAACCTATCCAAGGCCTCCAGGTGTGTGGGTGAGGGAGCTGTTGTAGGCTTGAGAGTCATTTCAGTGGTTTCTGGGCGAGGAAATAATAATGATCACAGTAACAGTAATGGTCAACCTTGCTGCTTCTGGACACGTTTGAGGTGTCAGGTGCTAAGGCCTTTACGGACCCCGGGGTATTAGTGAGAAGAGATCCTGAGAACATGAAGGCAAAGAACTTGGGGTGGAACCTGAAGAAGCAAGAGGACACCCATAAGGGTGGGGTGGGCTTGGCAGGGTGGGCTGTGGAGGTGAAGGGCTGAGGGTCACCCAGGGTGGTAAGCTGGGGAGGATTGGAACAGGAGGCTTGAGGAGTCTGGGAGGCCTGAGAGTTTGGAAAGTCTGGCTCAGAGCTCCGTGCAGGGCTCTGCCTTGGAGGTGAAGGTCAGCTGCCCAATGTCAAGGTTAACCTTTCCTCTTTTAGACACCCTCCTGAACCATCGAGAGAGGGAGGTGGTGGAAGGCAGTGACTTTCATGGAAGCAGGGGACAGTCTCATCCTTCTGGGGCTTCTTAGGTTTGGAAGGCAGGAAGATGGAAAAGACAGCTTCCACATTTTTTTTTTTTTTTTTTAGAGAGAGAGAGAGAGAGAGAGAGAGAGAGAGAGAGAGAGAGAGAGAGAATTTTTTTTTTGTGTGTGTGTGTGTAGATGGACACAACACAATACCTTTATTTTTATGTGGTGCTGAGGGTCCCGCCAGTGCTAGGGGAGCGCTCTACCGCTGAGCCACAATCCCAGCCCAAGTTTCCACATGCTTTATGAGTCTGGGAGTCACACACATTAAATTCTAATGGCTGGGCTGGGACTGTGGCTCAGGTAGATAGAGTGCTTGCCTAGCATGGGTGAGGCACTGGGTTTGACCCTCAGCACCACATTAAATAAATAAATAAACAAATAAACAAATAAATAAAATAAAGGTATAAAAAATTCTACAGCCTAGTATTGTGTAGGGTCAACATGTCTGGGCTGACTCATGATTTATGTATTTATTTCAAATGACCCTGATGAGGCAGGGGAATTTGTATGCAACTTATGGCCTGGAACCTTCATAATCATATTCATATTCTTTTAAATTTGATTTTTCTTTTTTGGTACCAGGGATTGAACCCAGGGGCACTTAACCACTGAGTCACATCCCCAGCCCTTTTGATATTTTATTCTGAGACAGGGTCTCACTAAGTTATTTAGGGCCTTGCTAAATTGCTGAGGCTGGCTTTGAACTTTTGATCCTCTTGCCTCAGCCTCCCAAGTAGCTGGGTTTACAGACATGCATCACTGTGCCTGGCTTAAATTAGTCTTGATAATCTGACTTGCCTCTTTAATAATCAGAACTATAAATCCTTCCACCCCAGGTATAAATAGGATTTCATAACTCTGCATTGCTTTGTGTTTTATTGCTGCCCATTAGATAAATGCTTTTGGTGTGAGGTATCAGAGTATATATCTAACATTAGTGATGTCACTGAGCTTATTCATGCATTTACTGATTATTTCAGTAATTATTTGTTACCTGTTCCTTGACCCCATCCTTTCTGAAAGAGCTCAGGGCCAGAGCAAAGGATAGTTGTGGTGGGGGGAGTGTGGATGTACTAATTATGGTGCTGCCACTAAGGCATAGGTGTGTGCCATGTGCCTGGCTTGTTCCAGTCTTTTTTACTATTTTTATGTATATTTTAGTTGTTGATGGACCTTTATTTTATTTATTTATTTATATGTGGTGCTGAGAATCGAACCCAGTGCCTCACACATGCTAGGCAAGCACTCTACCACTGAGCCATAACCCCAGCCCCTTTCCCAGTTTAAAAAAAATCTGCCATAATTCAAATAATGCAGACATGGTTATACTCTCAGAAAGATTAAAACTTTATTAACATGTATTAACTGTTCACACCAATGGGGTTCAGTGTGATAGTTCCATACATGCATATGGCACACATGAATCATATCTGACCTCCTTATCCCATCTCTCCCTTTCTAGTCTCCACTATTCTGCTTTTGAGTTGAGTTTTTCAATTTCCACATAATGAGAGAATATGTGGTGCTTGTCTTCCTGTATCTGGTTTATTTCACTTAACATAATTTTCTCTAGTTCCATGCATTGTGCCACAAGTGACAGGGTATTATTCTTCTTTATGGCTATACAATGCTCTATTGCATGTATTATATATACACATACACATATATAATACATGCAATGTATATGTATACATGTATATCTATACATGCATACATATATTTATGTTTATCACATATATATACATATATCTATATCACAGATATATGTATGTGATTAAGTATATATATGATATTGACATGTGATATATATGTATGTAGGTATGTACATATATGATATGTATACATATACACATACATATGAGTATATATTATATCACATATATGATATATCACATTTTCTATATCCATTCATCTGTTGACTGGCTTCTATTTTAATTCTGTATTTAGCTATTGTGAATAGTAAGTAAGTACTATGTGGGGATACAGGGATGTCTTTGGTATGCTGATTTCAATTCCATTGGATCTGTGCTCAGAATGGAATAGATGGATCATATGGTAGATCTGTTTTTAGTTTTTTGAGGAATCTCCATCCTGATTTCCATAATGGCTATAGTAATTTACATTCTCACCAACAGTATAGAATAGTCCCTTTTCTTCCACATTCTTGCCAGCATTTTTTTATAATAACTATTCTAACTGATTGAGATGGTATCTCATTGTAGTTTTGATTTGCATTTCCCTGATGGCTAATGATATTGAGCATTTTCTCATATATGTGTTGGTTATTTGTATCTTTTCTTTTGAGAAGTGTTTATTCAGATAATTAGCCCATTTTAAAATTGGATTACTGTTTTTTCTTAAGTTTTTTTTGAGTTCTTATGCATTAATCCTCTTTCAGATAAATAATTGGCAGATATTTTCTCCCATTCTGTTGGTTGACTCTTCACTCTGTTGATTGTTTCCTTTGCTGTGCAGAAGCTTCTTAATTTGATGTAATCCCCTTTTTTTGTTAATTCTTACTTTGATTTCCTGAGCTAATGGAGTTCTATCCAGAAAATCATTGCCTATAAAATATCTTGAAGTGTTTTCTTCCAGTAGTATCAGAGTTTCTGGTCTTTTATATTTAGGTATCTGATGCATCTTGAGTTGACTTTTGTATAGGGTGAGAGATAGGGGTCTTTTGCAGGTGAGTATCCAGTTTTCCCAGCACCATTTATTGAAATGGCTGTCCTTTTCTCAATGTATGTTTTTTGGTGCCACTTTCGAGAATCAGCTGGCTGTAGATGTGTGGGTTTATTTCTGGGATCTCTACTCTTTCCCATTGGTTTACCTGTCTGTTTTTATGCCCGTACCATGTTGTTGTTTTGATATTATTCTGAAGTATGCCTTTTTTTTTTGTACCAGGGATTAAACCCAGGGTCACTCAACCACTGAGCCACATTTCCAGCCCATTTTTTATTTTTTATTTTGAGACAGGATCTCGCTAAGTTGTTCAGGGCCTTGCTAAGTTGCTGAGACTGGCTTTGAACTTGTGATCCTCCTGCCTTAGCCTCCTAAGCCACTGGGATTACAGGTTTGCACCACTGTGTCTGGATTGAACTATGTCTTAAAATCAGGCATTATTCTCTTTTCTTAGTATTGCTTTGGTTATTCAGGATCTTTTTTTTGAATATGTATATATATGATTTGTAGTATTGTTTTTTCAGGTTTTGTGAAGAACATCGTTGGTGTTTTGATAGGGACTGCATTGAATTTTTGTCTCCTGTTTTGGCCTCAAAGATTGCTCTGAAATGATGAGTGTGTACCTGTGTACATGTGTTTGCACTTAAGATAATTTTATAACAATCCAAGAAAGCAACTTCATTAGGCACCTGCGGTGAGTGAGTGGGGCACCTTACACCCACTATCTCATTTAATCTTTCCACGATGTTTTAAGTTGGTATTATTATCCCCACTTTAGAGGTAAGGAAACTGATAGTACAAGAGGTTGTGTAACTTTTTAACCTCCAGAGTGGCAGAGCTAGGATTGGAAGCAGGGTCTGTCTGACACTACACTGCCTTGTCCATTCAGCCTATGAGCCCTTTATGTAGGATGCTTTATAAAATGCTCAACCTCTCTTAAGCTTTTGTTTTATATTTAATACTTTCCAAGATTTTACTGATCAAAAAATCATTGGTGTTCCTTGTTCCCTAACAGGAAGCATTTCTTGATTTCCCTTTATCCACTGAATGTTCGTCCTGGACCTGGGGCACTTTCAGATCTCCACTATTATGATTTAACAGTTTACCTTATTTTCTTTATCACAATGTAGGTTAAACAGGTTTATTTGCTGCATCTGTGTCAATAAAGAACCAAATTGTTAGTGTTTGCCCTTGCTTTCACACTTATGAACCAGGGAAACATTCTCACTCTTTATGAGTGAGCAGCACTGTGTGTAGTGACCTGGGAAATGGTATTTAAAAATAGTTTGTCTATACCCATTTGGAAGGATTTAAGGGTACTGTGGTCTAAGCTGCAAAAATAATATCACTATATCTT